CCAACCTTCCCTGTCATGGTTTACACCGGCCGTCTTAAACTCTCAACTTACCTGAATGTCTTGGGATCTTACCTGATGGGGCGAGACACCAAGGTGTATACACCTGTCCCTGTTCAGCTGAGAACCGTGTCTGGGAGAAGACGCCATGAGGTAATCCTTACAGAGAACCTTACCAAACACGCAGAACGGCAGAGACTGTACCGTGCGGCGGCATTTTTATTTTTCTAAATTTCGATGAAAATACACAGTAGAATGCCGGACTCAAACCACAAGGGACACACTGGGTATGATAACCTAGAAAATGCCGAAACTCATGATTAGTCCTACTTGATTGTGTACTATATATATACTAGCACTTGATGTTAAGTAATTAGGGTGTTGTTTCATTCTATACCCTTTTTTTGTACTACTGTTCAATAGTCGTTGCCATACATTGCACCATGTACATTCGTCGTGCAATAAAGTTCTTCTATGATATACTAGAGAAAGAATGCAGAAAAATAGTACGCATACAGCTTATTGACATAATAATAAAGATGTAACATTGAAAAAAATCAATTGTGAAAATGTTGAGTTTGTTTTATGAATACAATTGCATTCATCCGAATATAGCACTGGTATATAATAGCACAACAGTACTACAATGTAGTGAATCACATTGAAAACAGCAACCTATTGACATTTATTCTACTGGATACCTACCGTAAAATATTTTGATATGAATACATTGTGTTTTCGTTTTAGCATATTCTGTATATACATTGTTTCAATTTTTTTATTATACTAGTACCTTGACAATATAGATTGTAGATATTTCAGAGTTGTGGAGTGACATAAAAAAGCTTCTCGGCGACTTATTTTGTACACATCATGCGCATGAGTCCAGGATATTTGTTATTTAGCTGCATGCATTATCATTATATATTATGGATGCTTTATATCTTCAGATATATCTATTATTTTATAAGCTTGCAGGCCCCTTTCTAAGTTGGTCGTGCTGGCTATTTTGTGTATACATTCGAGAATTATATAAGCGAGTATGAACTAGTGGTAAAGGCGGTCGCGATCGAGCACTAAATATCACGCTGTTTACAATGATCTGGCACAATGTACTCTCATTCGCTTGTCAGGCGATTTTTCTAGTCCTAGTCAATATCAGTATCGTCAACGCGTTATTCAAGATGCAAAAACCGTGCAGACATTTGTGGAGACCCAAAACCCATGTTCACATGAAACTGCGTTGAGAGACATTTTTTCTCACTAGAAAGGGACAAGGCATCCCATTCATCAATTTGTTGTTTTAGTAGCGAACATTGAAACTTCAATCGCTCATCACATGTGCAAGTATGTACAAGTCCCCACGGAAAATGCCACTTACGTCAATTATACATCATGTAAGAATTTGCCATATAGAAATACAGAAGAGAGGCTGCCTCTCAATATTGTCAGCTATGCGCTAGGTAAACTCAGGCATGCCTTTCAAGCGGAACTCTGTGCGAATGTCAGTCAATAGCTACTACGCATACTATGTTTTTCTGGCTGAAGAACCTATTCAGGCCCTTCAGTCGACATCGTTACAATGCCGGTCTTCAAACATCGGTAAACAGCGCAGAGAGCCGAACCAACAAATTTGAAATGACCCGGTCGACTGCCCCATACATGACACATAACTCGACTCGCCCTCCCCCAAAAAACACATTATTTTAGCTTGCAGTTCTCTCTTCATTTTACGAATTGTTTCCAGAATTCTAGCGAAGCAAACTGATGAGTTTTGCGAAGTGTCAGTGATAAGTACGATTCATTTTAGAAGCATGTTGGGAGCATTTTTTCTTTTAGGTCGAGATACATTTATTTGCAGAGCTAATTCTGTTCGCAGCCATGCCCTTTGTGCCTCCCGTCAGACACGCTATCACGTCCGGGTTCTGGTCGGGAGAGGGGCGAACAATGCACCGCCATTTCCCAACCTGACGGTACGGCAACCCGCAAACAAGCACTGAGAACTTCCACGTCCAAACTGTCGTGTTCTTTTCGACCGCGACAGCCCGAAACGACGTCGGGGGTTGTCGGCAGTTGTCGGGCGCGTCCGGCGGGTCGACGATGAAAAATCACGAGACAGCCATAAATATACCACCTGAAACGGGAGCGAGGACATATTCGGCAAGGCGTGACCGAATCGAACCGAGAGCTCTCTTTGTTGTCCTGACGTCGGTAAGAATAAGCCAATGACAACGCCATTATCACAAGACACACACAACATAACACAGCCCGCCCCGCCGCTTGTACAGGCTTTAGATTGTCCCCCTTTTGTTTGTTGTGTCAGCCCGAAATACCTTGTCACTTCTGCCACAGAGACGAGTCACCGGGGAACAATGAACGAGGAAAATTAATTTCAACAGAGAAATTTGTTCATACACAGAATTCAGTGCTAATCAGTCGACCCCGTATCTTGTTTGTTGTTTAGACTTTCGGGCGAGGTGCTAGGCTCGACTGTGGGGGCTCACCAACAACACCGGGAGGTAATTTATCCACAAATAAAAAAATAAGAATTAAGTCTTTGTAAAAGTTCACCTCGACGATTACTGGAGGATTATCCGTCGGCGCAGTCGTCCCTGATGGGCCTTAAGTACTACCCTCGACGTGTAGAGTAGAAAATCACCAAAAGACTGGCAAATTTACATCACAGAGGCCAAAAACGGCGGTCTTTTCACCAACTGTCACTAACCGATGGGCGAATCAACCCATTTGGAGTCATTTACCACCAAAGAGAATCCTGTCGAAACTGGGTATTACGGAAATTATCGACAAATTAAGGAATAAAGTGGGAACCGATCGCGTGGAACGCCACAGGTATCCCCGTGTAACAGCTAGCTGAAGTGTATGTCTTCAACCATTGGAGAGCGGTGCTACCTATTCATCGACGTAATTTTCTCATAATCCCCGAAAATTATATTCCAATCTTGTTCAATTTTCCCCCAGCCAATTTTTCAAGCCTGACGCAAAAAGAGGGTACTAGTAACGCGGCGGATTACATGTCTGGGTGTGATTACGTCTGAAGGATATTAAATGTGACTCAGCGGTGGGTCAGATGAAGTCGCTGCGGTGAGCACAGGCCTGGTGTGGGGCCGTCACTCAACACACGGTGCCCCCGCAAGATTCCGTCCACTCCCCGCGTAGCCACCTTTTCATTTTCCCTTCCTTCAATTCCCTGACCTTTCTAAACAAATCTCTTAAGTAATAAACCCATCTTTTCCACGACGGGGCTTTCGCCAAAATTGTCGCAACATGGAAACTGAGTCACTTGAAATAATATTTTGTTTCTTACATACTCACAAAACAGCAGAATATCCGTGAACTGAGAAACAATCGCATTGGAAACACACGGCATAACTCTTAACACAAGGAAACTGTTGCGGGTAGATTTTGAAAAATCTATTTATTATTTTTTTGTAAATGTATTCAGTTGCTTGAGTAGCTGTTTTCTTATGTACACGTATCTCATTACCTGGATGTCTGACCTTCATCGACGTATCTCTGTAGCTGTATGTGTTTCTAGTGTTAGAAAAACTAATCTTGGATCATGGTATTTACCGTTAGCATAATCTTTTCTTTTCAATGTATCAGATCTGTTCTTTCTCTTCTTGTCTTGCTTTATTTACAGTTAGAATAACCCCCATCGGTGGATTAGAAGCTTCTTCATGGAAGTTTGGTGGTTAATATACATACACGTCATTTTTGTTATTTCAATCAATATTCTTCTGTACTTATGACATTTAGAACTCGGCATGCTCGCTTTATATACGCCCTGTGTTTTCACATGTTTCAAATAATTTCAAATGCGTTCAAATAAAGAAGGTTTATTTGAGCACCAATCTCTTTACTACACTAATGAACTGGTCGTCTTAATTAGAGGCACGGACAACAGATGGTGGTCAATGGTCAGTTCCAACACCTGGTCAACTCGGTGGTCAACAGGCCGGACAAAAGGTTTTTAAGGAACCCCTGCTATCCTTCAAACCTTTTTCTTACTCATCCCCCTACTTAAGGAATTATTCCTCACATAAACAGACTTCATTTCTTTGTAAACCGGTACAAATTTAAATCGCAAAGTAGAACAGATTTGTCGCCCAGAACGCAGTAGGCTTTACAATTCAAACAAATATAAGAACATTTCTTGTATATAACATAAAGGACAATATGTAGCAAATGACCATCTCAAATTTTTCCAAACAAAACATGGCTCAAGTCAGCACTCGATTCTTACATTGTGTTTATAAAGTCTTGAGTTTTTCGAATCAACATTTATACATCTAGAAGAACTATTTTTATTCATGTTTATTTACAAAATATCCAAATATAGGTGCCAGGGTTTTAAACAGTTCATGTGAACAAAATGGTGTAAGAAAACAGAAACAAAAATTTCATGATTAGTTTTATGCTTCCAATTAAACCAGAGAGTTGATCATTATTGTAAAACCACTTGCTTTGCAGTCGTTCCCTCAACGCCATTTTATCTAACGTTATGTGGCTCTGGTTAATTGAAACAAGCGTTAAAGAACTTTGCCATTCAATCACTCACCAACCTGATGAATCTATCTAACGTTACTTTTTGGAACACAGATAATTTATGGCAGGAGTCCGGCTTTCCGTCCGATGTGAGAATAACATACAAATGCACAAGATCATAGATCATCAGTTTTCAAGTCTTTTTCACATACTGCACATTTTGCTATTTCCAAAGTGACAGGGGCATTTAAACACTGCAGTGAGCATCGAAAGAAACAAACTAATCGTATCAATTTTTAATACAAGAAGCATTAAAAACAGTTTTAGTTTTCATGAGAATGTTTTCTATTCTATACTAAAGCTTATTGATTTCAGAATAAGCATATCCTTTGCATATAGATCTTTGCCATAATGATTAATTATCTAGTAGAAGTTGAATCCTTTCTTTGCAACTCTTGATTGCGAAAGCAGTAACACTTGTTCCGTTGACACAAATGCTGTCTTCAAATAGTTTCTTTTTTTTTTGCTTTTATTGTGTATCATATGGGAGAATATTCTAGAGGTCCATTAGTGGCATTCATAAAGTCACTGAGTCAGAGTGCATATGTGCATATGTAACCACAGTACGGTATGTGCAGACATTGAACTAAACCTTCGTGTAAGTCTCCATATAGGAAGCATGTTTTCTATTTGAGAGAGCGTGGATTCATTATCCATTTGTGGCACTTTGCACAGTACTAGTTTTGATACATTGCTGATATAATTTTGTTTAGAGAAAATACTGTGTAAGCTGCTATATTATATCCGTTGCAACTATTTCACACCAGAAGATAATAGATTTTCGTCATTCAAGTTCTAAGAGATAGAAGAAACTGAAATGGGAAACTCATGTTTCGACTATTTGATACATTTTTTTACATTTTGGTGTATCGAATGTCGATTAAAAACACAGCACAGTTTCAGTGTGACGGTACACATTGCCCACAGGAAAATCGAATTATCGAATTCAAGTGTTCCTATTGTATCTAAAAAAAGGCTCACACCTTTTTTGCCGAAAGCAAATACAGGGACAAAGGTATTTTTTACGTAATTTCGATATGTTTTGAATATTAGGTTTCTTAGAAAGCAGCAAGACAAAACAATGTTCTCCCACAAGTAACAACCTCAGGCTTAAACGTTGACAAAAAAACCTTGTACTGAATATAATTTGAATCTCAACGACGCGGACTGGGAGACTGGAAGGTTTTGTAAATGGATTCTTACTTCTTAGGAGACTGTAATATATTCTCTTCCTTTCAAGTCAAGTATTTTCAAGTCTATGTAACCACAAAAGGACCGGATACGGAAGAAAGACAAGCCCTGGCCTTTGAGGCAGCTTCCATGAAATGGCCCTACGGCGCAATGCAAATAAGCATATTGTGGCCGTCCGGAGGTCAGAGTTAGGGTACATTAATATCAGGGACATGCACACGACAATAAGGTGATGTAATATTAATTTTACGGTGAGTTTAAGAAGGGGGAAGTGCCGTAGAAGGCGACCGGACGCCACGTGTATGCTCCTCGGGGGCAGGGCGGTTTGTTGGGGGAACTTGACCAAGCTCAAACAAGATTGTTGAACCAGCTAGTTAGCGGGGGCCGCCAGCGTATGCAAGCCGGGCCGCGACACGGGCACACACAAGTGGAATTTTTGGAGGGCCGGGTTGTCCTTCCCCGCCACCGCTTGAATAGATCAATTGAGAACCAATTTGCTTCCATACTTAAGTCTTTGTGCGAATGCGGGCTCGTCTTCTGAGATATGCCTTGGCAAAGTTTACACTGGCGGCCCTGTGCTTTGAACGAGGAGAAAAGGACGCCGCAAACAGTATTTTTTAAGTCAGCAAGATTTCTCTCTTTATTCCAACGAGACGTTAAGCAGTAAGGATAGGTAACTGTTTAGAATTAGAGGAAAGAATCAAATGGTATAGATTATTCGGAGCCCTAGCCCTTTGTGTGCTAAGGCCAGCTTAAAGGCTTACGTACATCTCGGCTCGCCCGAAAAACAAAGAATCAACCGCAAAAACCCATGTACATAATTTACAACACGAAATATTCTTTACAAGGATACACAAACGTAAAGAGAGACAAAAAATAAAGTTATACACATAATTTACTTATTAGAACCTTAACCAAAGCCGTTCTCTGTTGTTATAACTGTACACCTGTTACGTACGTGGAACTTTTTCTTTACTTGGCACATCAACAATTGTTATGAAGGGTTTTCTGTTTTGACAAGAGTTCTCCACTCAGGTGGACGAGTGGCCAACAACAGACCCACTCCTCACTCTATAGTCCATGTCCTTATAAGATGCTGCGGTATGAAAACGAAGAAAACATTCAAGAGTACCTTTTTTTGTCAGCGAGTCGTCGCGAATTTCCGCACACACAAACTTGTGGGGGGACGCTGAGAGACAGAGAGTCACGATTATGAAATATTTCGAGGACTCTTCTGATGCCGTTCAACTCGTTCGTGTCTATTGCAACAAGCTCTTGGGCCGACTACACATACTGCAACTCATCTTATAACGTCACATAAAGTTAGTCTACTTTTCCCTGGAAAAGTTTTGTGAAGCGTTTGAACTTTTCTTCTTTATGATGGTGTTTCACCATGCCCAAGTGCCGTACGATGTGGAGAGTGAAGAGTTGGGCATGATGGGGTATTGGTAAGGCATAGTCTGAAGCGGCTGCATTTGTTGCTGCATGTGTTGCATGGTCTGCATGGCGGAGTGGTGCATGTTCATGTTCATGCCGGTCAGCATACTGTCCACGGGCTTCATGTACCCGTTACAAGACGTCACCGTCGGCTGGCAGGGCTTGCCGTCCCGTACCAGCACGGGAACCGCCACCCTGCGCGGGGACGGCAGCGGGTTCAGCCCGGTGTCCATGTGTCCTTCCTTCTGCGCACGCTTGCACTTGTACCGGTGGTTCTGGAACCAGATTTTCACCTGAGTCGGGGTGAGGCGGATGAGACGGGCCAGGTGTTCTCTCTCCGGGGCGGACAGGTAGCGTTGTTGGCGAAACCGCCGCTCCAGCTCGTACGTCTGCGCCTTGGAGAACAGCACTCGTCTCTTCCGCTTCTTGGGCTGGTCGCCCTGCCCGCCCGGCGAGCTGCTGTTCCCCGTGCCGTCGTTCGCGCTCCCCGTCGTCGAGCCGTCGTCGTCCTCGTCCTCTTCGTCGTCGAAGTCGACCTTGTCGGACGTGTTCTTGGCGTCTGCGGTGCTCGGGGTGTCGGCACCGGTAGACGAGCCAGGACTGCTCTGAGACGACGCGATATGTGTCAAAGCTGTAGAGTACAAACAAACACCAAGCGTTGAAATATCATAAGACATATCATGAACACAATGTGAAAGAACTTAAGTAACGAAGTATATATATAACGAAGTTTAAACCTGAATGAAAGATAGTGAGAAGGTTTTGTTGATGTGATTTCAGGTTTTGTCCTGGTACTGTGTGTATATTGTTTAGTTGTCCGTGCTGTTTGTCCCGATGGTCCTGACACCGGTGTGTAACTAGCCTGAGAGTCCACAGCTGAGACAGGAAGTCCTGAATACTGCACTTCGATAAGGCACTTTAGAACAATGTTACGCACACTTAAACACGTGCTCTATATACTTACAATTGTACTGCATCTCTTCCGCACTTCCTAGCCACCTCATGTACGGGTTTTCGCTGGCGTCGTAGTACGGGGGCAGCGCCGACGGACCCTGCGAGATCTGGCCGGCGTGGGACGCACTTCCTACCGAGGTGGCGGAGGCCATGTTGCCGGTGAGGGAAGACCCGGTGTCGGGGCTCTGGCGCTTGGCCTCGGGCATGTCCAAGATGTCTTTCACGGTAAAGCTGGTCTTACTGTTCAGCGACATTTTGGGATCCATCTGAGACGGAGACCTGTTCGCTTCCTGTAGACCAAAAGGTAAACCAAACACAACCTGGTCAGATCGAGGGGGGAGGTAAAAAAGTCTGAATGGTCCGTAATTCCGGGATTAAAGGTGTGTTGTTGGGAGAACCAAACGCGGAACCAGTCGGCTCCCCCTGTATTTGGTGTACACTGGGGAGTGAGGTAAGCTCTCTACCCAAGTCCCTTATGCACTACCAGCCTCCCATGGAATTGTGGGCGGCCCGACAGTCAAGTGGGCCGAACAAGGTGGTTGACATCACAAATTTGTCAGCCGTCGCCCGCCGAGTCATTTGATTGGGCGCTGACATCGCCATTAGGAGTGGGAGGGGACCAAAGGGGGCTCTGAGATCGTGTGAGATAACCAACCACTGATACACCTACGATAAGCGCGCAAAGCACGGCGAAGTTTGAAAAACATACAAACAATGCGATGTATACAACTTAATTAGCCCGTCCACCAGTGCGCTGTTTTGAGTTGCCCTGTCGAAATATGGCCCATATAAACATCGGGGGCGAACCTTGGATCCAGGCCTAACCTACACAAAGTACATCGGACCGCTCGTGTTACGTTAGTGAGTGTACGGCCTAGCCTGGAGAGGGCGATCCACAACAAAATTGGAGAGCTCACCCTCCAGCTGAAGTGTTGTTGTAAAGCAACACCCAAGTACTGTAAATGACGGGTATTTTCATTTCAGGTGCCTACCTCACCCCCTTTACCTCTGAACCAACCACTGCCAGCGAAACTCGAACCATTCTGGTATACGAGTATCTCTGATAAATTTTAGAAATGGTTCTGATTTTATGAATATATATGTGTATGTGATGGTTCTTTTATACCTGTCTCTACAAACTACTTTACACTGATACTTGACACAATGGTGAAATCCTGTCTCACGGCGTACTCGAGACAGAGCCCCTAAGCTTCGGCAAACGGACGATAATGCGGCATTAATGGCAATCCACTGAACGGCTGTTGGGTATGAGCAATTCGGACAATGGTGCCTTTGAGATTAGTGGCTCACTTCTCTCGAGTCGCTGGTGGGTTGCCGTTGTCTTCCCCCTCTCCCCTTCTAAACAATCCGTCCGTTTTTTCTGAAGGGAAGACGTGCCTGACACAATCCTCCTGCGCGGCTCGCACCTGAGCGGGCTCGCGTTACAGCGCACGGTGTGCTCTTCTTGTTGAAGCAGAACGCGCTAAAATTTCCAATGAAAAGGTGTAAACAGCTCGGATGAGAGCCCTCTTGTTTCGGGAGGGCGGACGGGGGGATGCGCTGGCGCTGGAGCGTGGCACGGTGGTAAGAGGCGTGAAAGAGCGAGAGAAGGGCTGGGTCCGGTGTGAGATCGACACGGCCCGAACCCCCTTGGTCTTACCGGGGCCGCGCGCGGCCAGGTCGGCCGGACACACCTTGTTGAGCACCGAGAGGATTGTAGTGATCCCGCCTGGATCAAGTGCTCCCCAGCGTACCGTCTCTATCCAGTTATGAAAAGAAACATATGGATTAAAATATAGGTGCGTGTCTGTGGGATGTCTGAGACTAATCTGACAAGAATGCCGCGCGGAGAAGACACCCTCTGCTGAAGTGGGCTCTCCACACTCGAGTCTCACACCGCTGATGGCCGAGTGAAACACAATCACAGACTAAGCGTTTGCCCTCAAGAGTCGGTTTACGCGTAATTGAATGGGATACGCCTGTATTAGCACATCGTCCATTTCAGCTTTGCTTACACATCTCAGACACGCAGCGGACTGTGGCCGACCTAATTTGACAAGGACCGGGATGGCATCCCGGCGAGGCGCTACCGTCGCGGCTGGGAGAAGCCAGGCGGCGGGCCGTGAGGTGTTCTCCCGGCGTACTTTCTCCCGCGCCCCGCTGGATTTAGCAGGGATTTTTTCCTCGAGCCACCACCTTGTGTGTGGCACGGTGTGTGCTAAGGTTTGCTCTCAGTCGGTAAAACAAGCTTCCTGGGTGGTCGGAGCCTTCATAAAGGCGAATTCTTGCACGGCCAATCATGGGCGATGAAATGTCCCACTGTTTGACATCTCCATTGTGGCGGATCAGTTTTTGTAGGCGTGCCAATCAGAGGTAGAATGGTAGGCTAACATAATACACTCTGCTCTGTTTAGAATGCGAGAGAGGGGTCTCGGGTGGCCATTCTTCTTGCTGTCGTATTTAGTTTTCTCCAAAAATACAGCCACTTTGTACTACATCACTTACATCTCATTACGGTACGCTAATTGCGAGGCGCGACAAAAGACCGGGTCCAATGTCGGTGGGTCCTGGGTTCGAAGCCCACCGTACCAAAATTACTATAAAAATGGGTACTTTATCTGCCAGGTCTTTTTCTTCTTCCCTCTTTTGCGAACTGGCGTAGCAATCTCCAACAGAATCTTAGGCACGGCAGAAGACCGGATGCATGAACTGATGATTCTGCGGAACAGAGGTGAAGCCTTCACGCCCGACTAGAGTCCTGATAGCCCCGATTACACGGGTGAAAAAACTAATGGCCAATAACCAATTATCATGTACTTAACCTATTATCACCCAATTGACGGGAAATCCCACTACGCGCGAGCTCCTGCTTTGGGCTTGATCCAAACTCCGCATAACGTAAACTTTATCCCACTCCAGACCGATATAAAAACCCTTGAGAGAAGTGAAAGCCCTTCTGGTGGAGAGCTGTGGCCACACGGGGGCCCTTTCCGCTCCCTCGCCTCCGTGTCACCACCACAACAAGACACAGTTCTCTCTCTCCGTCTCTTTCTTCCACTGCTCGTAACGGGACATTGGGGAGGCGTTCTCGGTTCATTTTGCGGGCGCGCGGACCGTTAAATTGCACGCCTTGACCTGCCTCCATTCTTCAGTGGCTGCTAATTGGAGGTTGGGAGTGAATGCGGCTTGTCTGGGGGCGCCGCCGGCCCGCACACGTCACGGACATGACTTTGACACGCACTCTACATGACGGATTGAGTGGAGGGAGGGGGGGGGGTAACGAGAAGGTCATCCATGCTTCAGATGACAGCCTCGAAGGTCACCACACCGCAGTGCTTACCGCACGGTCACATTTGTCGTACGTCGTACGATTTTGATGTCGTCAGATTTTCAAGCAGACTGTGACAGAACCATCTGCCGACGATGATCTAAGACAACCTCTTTGGTAACAAAACACCGACTTTTGCACGACACATGCGCGACTAAAAATGCCCTCATTTTGTGATCGTACGACGGTCTTACGACCAATGTGACCCGGCCCTTATTTGCAAAAGGTACAGATCCTAACTTATCTTTCTGCCGTACAAAATACGTCTACTCCACAACATCGACAGAACTACATCGGCACACACACGCACTAACGTACATACACCCATCTCAAATCAAAGACATGTAAACTACGCTTTATAATTTTTCTTCTTCGTTGGTAGGAAGGTTTGAGAAGGACAGAGACATGTTTATCTTTGTTTGGTTGCCCGGCGCTGTCTGACATGACACCGTTAAACCCTGTGCACACGGACTACCAGTCAGTGTCAACTGATAGTTCCTCCGGGATAAATGGATTGATACAATTCGTACCAACACTAGGTTAAACTCACTACAAAAACTGTACAATTTCCGTGTCACAAAAGATAGACATTAAAGGGATTTTTGTGATTTTCTATCATTGCTCGACTATAGAGGAACAACTTATTTTTGCATAATTTTTTCTGTGATAGCTTATTTACTTACCTTTGCCCAAATACCATAGCATGCATTGGAAATACAACTTGGAAATTTGGAAACAAACTACGCAGTGTGTTGTTATTAGTTTGCCTTTCCTTCCTAAAATTGACTATCAAGTTGCTATTTTTCCAGAGCTTTACTATGAATTTGAAAATCAAAGTTGATTACCTATGACCCAATTCGCTTAAGAATGATATGTCTGAACGTCGTTTTAGATGTAGCATAAAATGTATGAAATATAGTGGTTGATAAAGATGTTTCAAAGGCTTTTTCTTGATGAAAGTCATATATAGAATGGTAAATGCTGTATGTTTTCTTCAACCTACCTACATGTAGCTACTCGCAGAGATGAGTATATTTTCCATATCATTACATCTTGTTTGGTACCTTTTCCATTGAAGGATAGAAAATAAAGCAAAACATTCAGAATGGTGACATACATTTATAACTGTAATGTTGGTATAAACGCCTGTACAAAACGTTTGGAAGAACCAATATCTATTTTGTGTTGTTTTGTGGTTACATGTTCTGTCTTCAGTGTCATGCACTCTTTAAACTGCTGTACAGTTAGGGTTAACATCATGGCAGAGTTTGGAAAGTTTCTGTCTACTTTGCCAGAAAATATATATTCTTTCATTTGAATGATATCCTTATCACATGCAAACGTTGCTGATAATCTGTGTTTATACAAAATATAGCGGTGGCAAAAAAGAACCATTTCTATAAAAAAAACATGTCAGCTGAATTGTGGTAGTTTATCTAGTATATACCGTTAACGCCTAAAAAGTAGTTCATCTGTGTAGTCTAATCTGCTTCGCTGTCATTGGTCCAAGAGATATCGCGTTGTAATGTCAAGGATTATTTGGGATAACCGATCGCGGTATAAACTTCTATGGGGCTGAATTGTAATTAATTCAGTTGTTTACTCATCTGTATATTTACATTTTCGGTTGTACGCAATATACACTAGAGGCTGTTATCATTAACAAGCTGTATGGGTTCAATTCATGAGCGGAACATTTTAGAGGTAGAATCTGAACAGAAAAAAACGCACAGCACTGTAGACAGAGGTGTTGAAACACATAAAAGACCTACAGTACAAGACTGACATCTGCTTGGAGACCAATTTTAGCCTGACATCGCCCGCGTTTAATCTCCTTCTCTCCCTAACGTTAGCTTAGGTTTATGTAGGATCTCACCCGACTAAATCCAGCAAATAAGACTAAATAAGACTAAATAGCCAAAGCTGAACGGTTGCTGTTTTCTGATACAGATCTTAACAGGTGGTCGGACCCGTATTTAAGGGGGAGGAAAGAATTGCACGGCTAGATGACAAATTTAATTTAGCACTCTTGTGGCGAGTCTAAACAAGGCTTTATCTTCTTAACACAGGCATTTTGGCTCTGTTGTAATTATTCCGAACGTGACACTACCAGGCAAACGCCAGCTTGATTTAACATACCCTTGTTTTTTTAAATTCCATTTCAGTGGTTCTAATTTATGGAGAGAGAGCCTAGTGGAAAAGTACAAGTTACTAGTATCGAGCAAGTTGCGGCATGGGGCCTGCTTTGTTTTCCCAGCGTTGCAACGGAGGAATTTAGTGTATACTCCTAAACACCCCCCCCCCCCCCATCCCACCACCATATACATATCGAACCGTCTTGTATGATGTTTACCCCTGTACGGGATTGTTCAGACGGTGTCTTCGGAGAATCGAGCGGTACTTTCAGTAAACCAACGCCGCTGGACACACACAACACCAGGGGCTAATGAGTCAATATTTTTCCATGCCGTATTCAGAAGTATGCCGGCGAATTAATCACAGGTAGCCCGGCGCTAAAGTGCCAAAGGTTCTATACAGAGTCACACGTCCTTCAAGCCGATATGACGGATATTCTCCGTTCCCTGATTGCTCCCCTATCGTTCGATCAAATAGTCTATAAACGCTTGGGTTGCCATACACACAAACCGGCGGCCACCGGGGGCCTCACGACCCACCAACCTGTCTGCTCTCTGTCCTTCAGAACAAGAAACAAGTGTCCTCGGTTCTCCACTTTAATAAAGTAGACATCTAATGAAATGTAGGCTAAGACGACCTCGCTCGGTCTTCACGTGTGGTTCTTTGCCTTCTTTTTTTTCAAACACGTCGGTTGAAGGAGCGGGCAAACATTCAAAACGCCATTACAGTACCTCTATGCTGTACGGAGCAAATAGAAGTGGAGTGTTCCCCTAGTGCCGGGTAGGAACAAGCTATTCACACACTCTCCACGGCCCAAAAGGACACACTCCTCTTCTGTAAGGGCCCGCTTACATCTTTGTCTTTAAATTTGCAATTTATTGAGACCGTCGTCGCGAAGTGTGAAGGGCCAATCCTGGCAATAAACCACGCTTGACAACAAGTATGTGGCACAGTTGTTAGGATCCCGGCTGTACAACATATCTACAGCTTTTGTAACCTGGTTAGACCCTAAATATTTTGTCCGTAAGGTTCATGCATATATGATATTCGGGAATTGACGCTGAGGTTGGATATATATATATATAGCGACTATATTTGTGGCTAAAAGAGTCCATGATTTGAACAGATCTCTTCTTTTTTCGCAAAGTGTTGTTGTTTTTGTTTTCTTAATTTTTTTCAGCTAAATCTATGACAACAACAGTGATCTAGAACGTATGCCCCTTGGTAGATATCTTACTTCAATAACTTTCAATAGTGTAGTGTATATGGGGTAGGTAAGCTTATGACCTTGTATTGAACACTCGTATTAGGTTTCTTGCAAGAAGTGCCTTTTGTGATAAAAACACTTTATTCCTAAGTAGCGCCACGTTTAACTCGTATTGTTCTTGACTTGGCAAAATGGGGCAATAAAAAGTCTACAAGGCGCTCCGGAATTGTCTTTGGTTTCAAGTGAAATCTGCTCCAAGACAGAATTAAGTTTGGAGTGGGTTTACCCACGGCCACTTAAACTCCCAGTCAACGCCGACACAGCCGGTTGCAGCGGAGAACAAGGCGGCAAAATGAATAGCCCGTTCGCTGGAATCCAAACTTTCATAAACTTTTACAATGTTTGCTTCCACCGCCCCTGTTGTTACAGGCGGGTGTGTTTCTACCACCGCCACCCCACCCTCCTTTTCCTTTTCGGGCTTTTGTTACTCTCCAAGCAGAGGTTTGGGTTTGGGCTTATTTTTGGCGTGTTTTTAGGCTTTTTTATCGGGCTTTCGTTTTTAAACCAGTATCTTTTTTACGCCAACCCAACCTCTGTCGACACTCACCCGGGCTGGCGTAAAAAAACGATACCGGTGCAAAAAAAGAAAGCCCGATAAAAAAGCCCAAAAATATGCCAAAAATAAGCCCTAACCCAAACCTCTGCTTGGAGAGCAGGCTTTTGTATGATTGGCCGAGCCGTGCGACGCATGGCTTTCGACTGTACCGGTAACCAACACGGCTCAATCCCGGTTACAAACACGAAGAGCTCGGCGGTTGAGCCACAGTAAATCACGCTAAATCATACCACAAAGGACGGACCGGCACGGAGGGGGTCCGACTAAACATCTCCCAGTGATCCCTATTCAATATCTCTATGGTTCTTACCTTGTCCTTATAAACTTCGGCCCACGTGAGGATGAATCCAACACCTGGACAACTACTTTGAAACTCCTTTGGGAGAAGGAATTTCTGGCATTTGCTTGAAGACACAATTGGCGTATGTCTATCTATATGGACCGGCTATAATTCTTCTCGTAAAACTGTTACAAAGAAGGGACGTTTCGAAGATAAGGATAAAGGGGTGAAGGCCGGCGTGGTGCGATTAGTAACGACTGACTGGAAAGGTGGGCAAGAATAATAAACATTTCTAAGACACCGAACTTAAGATGTAGTTTGAACCCTTAAGTCTCAAACCCGTAGTTACCCTAAAAAATCACATGCAAGTCAAATACAACATGTACAAACATAAGGCAACTTTCGTGGTACTTGGCCTCACTTACCACGTAACATGTACGCTGACCAGTTCTGAAGTAGGTGACACACACACACGCACGTTAGTACTGACCACACAGTTTGACCAGTCCTGGTGAGAGATGGTGACCGTTACAGATGACCACCTGACCCCAAATGTGAGAGGGTTCTCCGACAGGTGTGCCCACTCAGGTGTGAGTGGACGCTCTAGGGCGGGGTCACCTCTCATGATCATCATTTTGTATTTCTAGGTCATGTGAACCGGACGAACACCCAATGCCGCCTTTGATATCTCAAGTATGAATCTTTAAGAAATCGGTGTTTGTTTACGTTCTACTTTTGATATAGTCTGGTATCTAGGTCTCCTCTAATGAGAAATACAATATTTTTACCCCACAGGCATTTTTTTCCAGATCTATTATCTTACGACTAAGAATGGATCGCTCTCTTTCGTGCGTAGATATGAAAAAAATCTTAAGTTTCGCAAGGATCTATGGCAAGATTTGTGTCTTAATCCGGCTTTCATCTCCTTCAGGAGAAAGATAGAAGATGTTTCTATTGTTGTGTAACTTTGGGCCACTCCTGGGGTATTGTTCTCGCTCTTGTTGCCATTTTCTAAACAAGATTGCAGACGAGATAAGAGGCTTGGGCCTGTTAAACGCCAGACGACTTTTTGAATGATGACTAGGTGTATCTATGACTCTTTTTTTAAATACATATTTGATAGATATTCAGTTAAACCGAACATCAAACGTTGATGTGTTCTCAAGTTCGGTTGATGTAGTGGATGGTGAACACAAAAATCATGAATCATTGGCGATTGAAGAAGAATCCATACCACCTACAGCGTGTGAAAAACCACTTTACAGGTATCACTCTTACCCGTGCATACGCACCACATTTATACTTTCAATAGTTCTCCTAGACGGCCTATTATAAAAACCCGGCCGGATATTGTGTTATTTTTGGCGCTCCCAAACAAACTGTATTCTCCCTTGCTCAACATTCGGGCCCGACTTCCCTTTATGAAGTGGCCACCGATACCTTTGGACCATCGGCGACTCAAAACAGATTCGGGTATCAGAAAGCATGTCGAGCTCATCGCTAATCAATCATCGAAAACAGGTGCATTCTTCAGAGCTGGGTCAGCGGTGTGAGTTTCCTCAGAAAGAGGGGAAAACTAGGACATCCGGATTAGCGAAGACTACAGGCGATTGGACGAAGTTCCGCTCGACTGTTTTCATGAGCTGGGAGATACTTGATATAAGGTTGAGTTGATCGGTGACAAGATCGGTGTCTATCGTCACCTGTTGGAGTGGCGTTTCAGTTTCAGGACAGGAACAGATGTGTAACACAGAGTCAGCGCTTTGTTGTCTGCAGGTGGCGACTATACATCTGATACCCCCAGCCGAAGTCTTGTCGCTGTGTGGGTTATAGCTCGTAAGATTGTCGCACGATCGATCGCAACATTGGGGCATCCTTCAATGGGATGGTCGTACATATGTCGTACGAATTGTTATTTTGTTACGGGAAAGGCTGCTTTAGATCCTGGTTTGTTCAATGCCCCTGCTTCGGTCAATTCTAGGACGTTACAGTCGTAATTTGACCTACGACGAATGTGGCTTCGACTTTACTAATGTCCCCACGGCTCTGTTTTCTTCCATTGAAACCTATTTTATCTCAACAACTTTGGAAAAATGTTTCAGATTTCGTATGTTATAAACAGACAAGAAACTGTACACTTCGAATGAAGATTTTTCTTCTTCCAGTTTTGATTGAAGCACTGGATGGTGTTGCACAACAACTGTACAAGGTACACATGGCAACACGTATTTCGCAGCAATTCTGACAGACCAGTCACTCTATATTCTGTTCTAAACATGACAAGAAATATTTCCCCAGGATGTAGCTGAACAAATTTATTTCAAACGTAGTCAAAACAATATTTGTAAAGTATGAATGGTCTGGTCTAGCTTATGGATTTAACCTTGATGAAAATATTAGTCTGTACACCGTACCTTTGGCAAGATGCGTTCAATGCATAAAACCTTATGTTCAAGCATACCTTAACACCGTCCGTAGAGGTGCCACTGTTTTAGTCGACTGGGAAAACGACACCTTTACGCATACTTTAAAGTATACTCAAATATAGGATGTTATGCAGTGACGTTGCATTAGGTTTAATTAAAACACAATGTATTGGAAAATCTTGATTTCTGTTTTCGATCCTCCCCCACTGTTTGTTGTTGAAGGACGCTGACCAACTAATACCTAAAACAACCACACAAACATCGATCCGTAGATTTGACACAGTCTTTGCAATCTAACTGTTTTATTTTACAAAGTCAGCAAACCTTCTTTAACCTACATGACGTGTAAAATCATGTTGTACTGGTACATAAGTGGTAAATTGTTAAGAATAGGTGTTGCTCTTTGATTGTCTCATACGAGTATGAAGGACGTCAGAACACACTTTCAAAAACATGTGATGTCGCATTTTCCATCCAAAATGCTTCTTAATTTCAAGAACGTTTACGTTTTGCTTTTTTGTGGTAACATGCCCGATATCAATAATGTACACAAAACTAAACACAGCTGTAGAATATCGATTCCTTTTCTGAAAATTGAACCGTTCATCTGATTTTTCTCTCCAAGTATATTTTTGAGCCGGGGCTCTAATTGTTTTGGACAGAAGCGGACAACAGGAACACCCACCAAACAATACCGTCCCCTCTTGTACATATGGTAACCGCACTAATCGTACAATACCGATCGCTTTTTTCCCAACTGTTATGCTTTTTTCCCTCCTTTTGTCCCGGTCGCCATTTTGTTTTATTGAGCAGTGGAGTGGTGAATAGGCAGTCTTATTCTCTCACGGAGGTGTACAAATGATCCGGCGGATTAGTAAAGAACAGCAGAGCCGGTTCATAAATGATATAATTTCGGGTAATACTGAGGTCTTTGTTTACTGTTGATGTCTGTATGAAGCGTGTGAAAAGCGCTGAATGGGGCGGGACCTAATCCGCGAAGCCCCGGCCCGCACCTGCGTGGAATCGCAGTGTACAGTACTTTCATGTACGGTGGGAACATTTTTTTTTCTCTTTCCTCCGTTCTTGAGAAAAACCTAGAGTACAATTAAAGCATCATCAAAACACAGATTAGTACAGTAAAATCCCAATTAAGGGGCTATTCGCATGGCGAGGGTTGGGTTTGTTTGTGTTAGTTGGGTTGTGAGGATGCTTGTAATAAGTACTAAACATAGGAAAAAAACTTGAGATTTAAAAGCTTGTTGAAGGCTTGTGGTGACTTTATTTCAAGCCTCTTAAAACTCTTATAAGAGTCAATGTCAAGTAGATTCCAGAAAAGAGTTATGTGTTGTTTGTCTGATGAATTTAAAAAAGCCCACAGACAATCCATTCCCATACCTTGATCAATAATCATATATATATATATCAACATCCCGTGTTTTATTTTGAAGTCAATATATTGATTGAGTTTCACTTAGCTTGTCTGAGATGTTGTCAGGACTGAATTTTCGATAAAGGAGAAACTAGAAATAAAACGAAAATAGTCGTAGGGAGTTTCAATTGGCTCTGTTGCCCATACGAAATCCTATTTCAATGTGCTGAATATATACTTTTGGTCAGCTGTATATTGTCTGATACTCTAAATTTTAATACTGTTGCTGTTGTATATCTTTGCAACAAGAAGTCTTTTTGGAATAGTTAATTGAACGAAGCGGGCTCGACTACGAACAGTATAGTCAATTTGGCTGTCTAGACTTTTCTCTAAAAAGTTGGCCATCTCAAACATAATCAAAAAGTTTCTCCAGTCGTAAATTTGAGTCACTTGAATACAGAATTACACGAGGACTCATATATAAACACCTCTGTTGTTTAGAGTTTATTCAAGAAATTCTTCACTTCGCTACTAGAATTTATGACGTTACAGTTCAGATGTTTTAGAACCCTCTTTGTGTAACAGAGACCATTGTTGGAGACCTTCAGAAATAAATTACATGACCCGTCTTTTTTGTGTGGGTATCAAAAATGATGCTGATCTGACGTTTTTAATTCCAGACACTTGCGCCGTAACAGGCACCAGTACTGTGTGTTTTGAGCGGTTATAAATCTCATCACCTGTAACAGGTGTTTCCCTCTGACAAACAGCTGTAAATCACGTGAAAATCACGTGTCAAGCACCACTCCCCTCTCCTGGTCTAACATCGAAAACAAACGATACAATCCATCAAATTGGCCTCCAGTAGATTTGTGCAAGGTCGTCATTCTACTGGATAGAGGTCACTGAGAGAACAAAATTAGATTTGGATAACTGTAAAAATTGAATATCATCCATGGTGTCAAAGTATCATTTGAAAGATAACAAAACACATGTGCACACAACTTACAGCATATATACGGTTTGAAGTATAAATTAATGATTATGTTTTTCCCTCAGTGAACGCATATTATTACATAGTTTTAGACATCTTTGCAATAATACATGGCTTATGAATAATATAGAAAAAGTAAGGACCACACTGCCGTGTTAATAACTGTTCACCGCTATTGCCGTGACCAGGATTCGAACCTGGGTTATTGCGGCCACAACGCAATGTCCTAACCACTAGACGATCACGGCGAGCTACATGTGATCACATATTTCCCTTAGCATCAGAAACAAGCAAGGATTAAGCCAAATGATAGCTCTGAACATTTTTATAACGTTACTCACACAATATACATCTCCAAGATACATACACACTCACACAATCTATGTCTAGAACGGCCAGATACTTTGGATCCTTTTGCACACAGATAGATTTTTTTTTCAATTGAAACAATGCATTAGATCATACTATTGAGTGGCCATCTTTCCACATGGACCAAATTTTATCGTTCCCCTGAGTAGTTTTCTTTGGCAATTTGACTGTTACAACTGCTCTCCAAGCAGAGGCTTAGGCTTCGGATTACTAGTATTTAATTTTTGACGTGTTTTTCAGCGTTTATATCGGGATTTTTTTTCTGGTATCTTTTTTTTCGCCATCCATCGGGAAGAGTACTAGTATTGGACACTGTCCTACCAATGATACTGTCAATA